ACATGACACATGAATTCAAACCAGTTCTATTTGGTTCCTCTACATTCTAAAGTAGTTATGAAATTAATAAAACAGACTTTAAACTTTTTCACACACAGCTATCTTAACACGATTTATAGACTAGGAAACTTTGTGATTGTAGGTGTTGTTGAAACATTTTGCAGAATAAGTTGAAGGGAACAAACACCAGCTTCCAATAATGGCTGTGTGTCTACAAGACACTGAGAAGGATAATACGACTAATTGAATCACATATTACAATGAAGTTTAGTTGTTTTGTGAAAGTATTGTTTGAAAATCATTCAATATAAATAAGACATTTCCATTTAAACTATTTCGCAGTTCTTAAATACTTTAAAATATTTATAAATATAGACTGCATTGAAATATGATTTATGAATGTGAGTATATGAAAAAGATGTTTTTCAAAATCATTATGTTAAGTAATATATGTACATATGTATGTATACTCTCATTTATTCTACAACAGTTTAAGTCGTAGGGAAACGATTTTAAAAATGAAGTTTCGCTTTTAATTTTCAAATTTACATTTAAGTAATTTTTATTGTATTAGAAATATATTCATTTACTAGGAAGGTGCCAAAAAAGGAACAAGCAAACATCTTACGTAACTAAGCCTAATTCATTGTATACTAAAAAGTACGTTTAAAAAATTTCAACTATCTTAGGTGTAGTTTTCTTTTCTTAATATAAATATTTTTTTAACGTTATTTTTTGCGAAGACGTGGAAAGTATGTTAAGTAAAATTTAAGTCCCTACATACTTAAGATTATCCAGCGTTTCTTTAGCTCCTTAAAACTTATTAAATGTAAATGGTTTAAAACTGTCTCTAACTCTGCTCGGAAGGAAGGTACCTTATTAATCGTATCACTTCCGTGGACCAAACGTCAATGAAAGTTCATGCTTGAGTATATAATGTAAATTTGTCTCTTCCCTTATTTTATATAACTAAAGCTTAGTAAGCAAGTAAAGTAACATCAATCGTTTATATTAATAATATAAACGTTCTGATGTAGATTTTTCCTGAACTAAAAAGGCATAAACTGAATTTTAAACAACTTTAATATGTTACAACATGTAGGTTTATAGTATGTTCTTTTAAATGAGTCCCTAAAAAATTAACAAACCTTAAAGGGAAGTAAATATTAGATATTAATTTATTCACAGAATCAAAATCGAAATTAAATAATAATACATCATTCTAATTTATTAAAAACACATAGAACTCAAATGAAAACAGGATAGATGTAAATGGTGTCCCAGTAATTGGCTGTCGAATGTACGGTATTAAGGGAAAGCAACACTTGGACGAGATCCATTTTTTCATTAAATAAACAAGTATGTACTATAAATATATAAAAAATATATACCGTCTAAAGCGAACTAACGTAGATATTATTTATTTTGTTATTTTTTATTAAAATACATTCAATTCAATGCTACCATTCAAAGCGTCACATAAACGTTACACTTTGTGACACTTGTTTGACTACAGTGTAATAAATGAAGGCTGGAATTAAATTTATTTATTTAATATGTGACCAAATAGTTGCCTTTAGTTCGATAGGTATGAGAATCCTCTTCACTGATACAATATGTTTATAAATTATTGGAATATTTATATGTATATATATATATATATTCATTATGTAGTATTTTTAAAAAATAAAGCAAGTAACGCCTATGATGTATTACCAAAAGGGATTTTGTATTTGTAAAAGGGATCTTGTATACAACATATAAGAATTTTAATGATTTTAGTTAGTAAGTTAAATATATACAGTATAAATGATCACCTTGTTAGACTAAATCTAAGCTTGGTAATTTATTTCTTATTTAAGGTCACTTGTTTTCGTATCGAATTGTAATAATATTTCTTTATTCTTAAGATATACCATAATAAATGTATTGTGCACATGAAGGAGGCATTGTTTTCTACTTCATTGTTTGACAAAGCTTTTGATTATCTGTTTGTCCATCTCTGTATAGGGAAGGCTTCTGCTATAATTTAATGCCAGTGTTAGTTGATGTCATTTTACGCACACTATACATCATATACACTAAACCTTATGAATCTTATTTATCAAAGGACTTATTATTTATTACTTTGCTGAACATTAAACCCTTTCTGTACCATAAGTACGGAGTAATTCAACTTACGAAAGTAAATATTTCATATTGGCGATCCAATTCAGTAATAAGAATAAACAATTGTTGTTAAGGAATTGAAATGTTTAAATTATAAGGAACGTAGAATCTTTTATATCAGATAAATAAAATAATCCTTATTGTAATAACTTTTATTTATTAAGTACTAGCTTTCCGCCCGCAGCTTCGCCGCGTGGAGTTCGGTTATATCGCGTTTCCAAGAGAACCTTTCAAAAGTCTGGGATAAAAACTATCCTATGTTCTTTCTCAAGGTCAACTCTATCTCTGTACCGAATTTCATTAAAATCAGTTCAGTGGTTTAGGCGTGAAAGCGTAGCAGACAGACAGACAGACAGACAGACAGACAGAGTTACTTTCGCATTTATAATATTAGTAGGGATTAATTTTCTTTAATTTGTAGAATGTTAATTTGTGTATAAAGAAGGCTCCGTATGACTTAAATGTGTTCTATACATGCATTAATTAAATCTACTATCATTAATAACTATTTTTTTATTGTTAAGTAATTTCCAAGATAAATACGTGTTTAAGTTATTGCAGTTCTGAAGAATTTTGTTTCTGCTACAAGTAGTACGGAGACAAATTTCGCATATCTAATTTGATAATTTACTTTTGCTTCTTGGAATATTCCTCACTTACAATTTTTATTCTACTTGTACCAAATGAAAAGAGTAAGGGAAAATATCTTCTAAATCCTGTTGCAGAGAACTGTAATTAACTGAATTCCACTAGTTAATCTAACTCGGTTTGTCTAAACTAAAATAAACAAGTTGATAGGATAAAAAGAAGAAAGAATTTTGTTTTGAAAAGTGAGCTTAGAAAAATTCAAGAAAGAAATACAGCAATACAAATTTAAACTGATATCCATTTAACGAGTACTTGATTAATTTTTTGCTCTATTTATTACTTTTTTAATATATTAAATTTAGTCCATACTTTTTTATATTTTAATTATATTTAGTATTTTGTGTTACTTAAAATTAAATCTTTACTGTTTTTCTATATAAAATAATACAGTTTATATATTATTACTACTACTATATACTATATTTCTAAGCATATATTTCAGGACATGTTGTAAATCTCCAAACTTTCCAGTCGTTTTGTAAACCCTCTGCAGTTCTTTTTTTCTGAAACTTCTAACATTAAAAAGCTGTTCGAGCCAGCTGGGCAGAGTAAATCGTATGTCTAGTAGAAGTATCCCTTGATGGTACAAATGTTCACATTTTTATTTATGAACAGAAATTATATATAATCATAATATATGACTTGTATTCCCAAAAGAGGGTTGATGCAGGCGGCCGGTCGTAAAAACAATTAGCCAAAACTATTCGCAACATGTAAGGCAGACCCTGGCTATAGCCGGGAAATTGTCAGGTAGAAGAAGATAATATATGACTTGTACATAATGTTAATCTCATGTGAGGAACGAATATTTAAAATGATATCGAGTGTTTGTATTTTAATAAAATAAAATTGTATAAAAAACCTTGGGTGTAGTTATTGAATTATTTTTAATCACGCCGAACAAAAGCTGTTTTTAATATTAAGTACAGCGTCATTTGATGAAATTCCGATGAAGAGTTATTTATTTAGTGAACATTATTCTGAAAAACTGTTTACAGCCTAGTAAGGTTATCCAGTAGATTGTATATTCCTCGTGTTAAGCGTGATGCTTTTAGTATATTAATTGTTCATATCGAAGCCCTTTCGATATATATGTATATATCGAAGATGAGTGCTTTATGATCTTGATCCAGTAAATGCCGTACTGTACTGCCGTAGCTGTAATGCCGTAGCTGTACTCGTATACAGTTAAAATAAGGGTTAAAGTATAGAAGTAAATTAATATTTATATTATACTTTACATAAAATAAATAGGAAACATATTTAGTGTCAGCGATGTTATAATATAATGAAAATACTAACTAGATAATGGAGTATTATTATTATTTGGAGGAGGAATTCTTTTTGATTTGAAAGGATAATTTCTTTTCTTCTTTGAATGTATATTTTTTATTATCAACTTATTTCAAGTATGTGAACTATATGTTTCAAATTGCAATCAAAGAAAAAATGAAGCCGCTTTAGAAAGCACTTAGAAATATACAAAGAAGCAATTGCAAAGGAATCGAAATTAACGTAACTCAAATGACATTACATTTTCATTAACAAAAATCATTTTGCCAAAACCCGGTATTGAACCGTGACCTTTAAATCTTCAGTCTAACGCTCTCCCAACTGAGCTATTTCGGCTTCTATTATTTACACTTGAAATAACGAGGTCAAAAACTTGGGTGTACGTTATATGTATTTTTTACTGTTTACATTTTTTTCATTAATTATTGTTTTTATTACAACGTTTGTATGCGAACTGATCTTAATAGTGGAAAAGCAAGTATTAGTAAGTAAGCAAGTATATATCTTCCATTTACAGTCCCTGGCCAAATTATTAGACGCACTGCATAATTATATATAAAATATTAATTACAGAGCGATATTGTATCATTTTATTGTTTTAAAAAAATCTGTTTGATATTTTATTATTATTTAATCAATAACGGATTAATTTAACACAAATAAAACAGCATTAATTTAAAAAATCTTATGTTTATTGAATTTTAAAGAAATGTAGAAATAAAGTACGTAAAAGTCAATATTTTGTTGAGCTACCTTTAGCCGCTATGAAAGCCTTAATTCTGCGCGGCATGCTATCAATGCAAGACTGCACTGTCTCCTGCATTTGTGGATGATGATTCCACACATGTATAATCTTTTCTAGGAGCTGGGTTTTGTTGGTGATCACATCCTTAGCCACTTCTCTTTTCATCAGCTCCCACACATTTTCTATTGGATTCATAACCCGGCCAATCCAACAGAGGAATATTATTTTCTGCCAAGAAAGCTTTAACTGATTGAGCAGTGTGACAGGGAGCCCTATCTTGCATGAAAATGAATGGTTCCCCATTTGGAAACCATTCTCTGAGCTGCGGAATCAACCGATTTTCTAAAACATCTTTGTACTGGTCTTGCCTCATTATTCCTTTCACGACGTACAGACGTCCAGTGCCCTTGCCACTGATGACTGACCAAATCATCACTTTGGTGGGATGTTTAACTGTTGTAACGACGCAGTCAGGACGAAACTTTTCTCCTGGACGACGACGCACATACTGAGCTTTATTCTGTAAAATTTAGAATGTGCTTTCGTCACTGAAGCAGACCTGTCAAAAATAGAAAAAATATATAAATATCCAAGTTCTTTTGCTTTATTTTATTGAAAATGATAATAATCTATATTTTTTTATTAAATTACATTATCTTACCGATCTCCAAAAGTTCACATCTTTGTCTTGCCATTGCTTGGCCCACTTCAGTCGCTTTGTTTTCATTGCAGCTGTTAACTTGGGCTTCTTGGCGGGGCGACAGGCTTTAAAATCTAATTCTTTCAATTTTCTTCGAATAGTCCGTTCAGAAGCATTTACGCTAGCATCCTGGAGTTGTGATTTTATTACCTTTGTGGTAGCAAATCTGTTTTCTAGAAAAATTTTCTTCAAACATCTCTCTGACCAAGGAGTGAAAATTGGTTTTCTACCACATCTTTTCTTTCTTTTCGGGCTTAATTCCTCCCCCGACTCAATTACTTTTTTTATGCGTCGTACACTAGCTTCAGAAACTTTCAATCTTCGTGATATTTCCCGGTTCGAAAATGTTTTCGCATTTAAAAGAGCCTTTACTTCAGCTTTTTTACGCGGTGAAAGATCGCCCTTTTTACCCATAATGAAAATAGTCCAATGTTTATTTTAAAACACTGAATACAAAATAAACTAATAACTGAAGTAAAAAACTGTTAAACAAACAATCACAGTCTATAAACCCGGAAAAGAAACAGAGAAACCCGTCCAAATTGCGATCGCGCCTGAAACAGGTTTATACTTGTTTACGTTCATGTATCCCTTTAACAACACAAAGTGTCCATATGCTAAAAATAAATAAAAATAGATAGTCTACAACAAATCTTTTAAATAAAAATCAATAATACTGTAGTTTAAATACACAATTACTGCATAAAAACATTTAAGAAACATGAAATAATTAAAAACAATACAATGCGTCTAATAATTTGGCCAGGGACTGTATATATTAGTGTGAAAGATCCTGTGCCGAAATAAAATAAAAGAGGCTTTTTCCTATGAAGTGTTAATAAGATAGATGTAAGTATACCTTTAAACGTGGACTAAATAGGATGTTTCTGTCATAGTTTCCTCATTTTATTGTATAAGGATACTCTTAGTGATCTACAATTTATATGGATATAATTTGGAAAAAAAATTTCAACCAATTTCCAAGCAATAAGATTCCGATGTGTTGGATGATGATTTTTTTTAATAAATTCATATGTATAAAAAAAACATATTTAGATTCTCAAAACCAGGTAATAACACTATTATCCCGGATAACGTCACGACAGGGAAATGACGTAATTTACCCTCGAGATTCAGTTTCCTTATTATTATAATAACAATATGACGTGTATTTGTATCCATTATTGCTGTCTATTTCAGTGATAGCGCTATTTGAGGATACCTTAATAAAGATAAGTGTATTCTGGGTTGATGATATGAATGTTGTTATTGACGTATCGCATTCGGCTTTTCATGTAAAGGACTATAATGAAAACAACAGAGAGGTAATAAATAATATTTTAGTTGATGGAAATTTGAACATAAAATTATATCAAGGTTAAAAAAATAGGAAATGCATACGAAAATGACTTCTATATTATAATAAAGTTAAGTATAAAATAATTATGCAATGATTTATTGATGTTAAATGAATATATACGATAATATCAAAACGTGACGAACGACCACAGCTTATATATTTTTTTTTTTTTTTTTTTTTTTTAACGAGGAGAATCTTTCAAAGACTTCCCGCCGCGGGGGAAACACGGCGGGGGCGTGTGGGATTTCCACCCACTAAACTCCTCGGCGTTCTCTGCGCAGTGCGTAGGCTAGTGAGCGGGAACGGCAAGCCATGCTTCCGCTCACTACGCACAAGTCCCGAAAGGGACTCCGCCATCGGCAGGGGTATCAGTGGCTAGACCACACCACCCCTCCGACTCAAGAGCAGCGTGCCGGGAACGCCAAACACGCCGCTCTTACTCAGGCCTATGTTACCCGGACGCCGGTTCCCCACCGACGCCCGGAGGCTCCTCACTGGGGAGGCAGGTCGCGGGCATATGCCCGCTGCCTTCGACCCAGTCTACGTCGACGCAAGGGCGCCGAGGAGGGGTCGTCTTCCCGTGCACGTTCTGCGGCCTCTTTCCGCGACATCACGTGCTCGCAGAACTTGACCATCGCCTCCCAGGCCCTCTCGCTACCGACCATGGCCTGAACCACAGCCGGCAACGATAGGTCTGCGCCAACCACTGTGGTGAGCTGGCGACGCTCTACAGCCCACGCAGGGCACTCCGCCAAAGTGTGATCGGCCGTGTCATCCATGCAACTGCAATGGTGACACGCCGCAGTCGACTCTCTCCCGACTATGTGGCACAGATACCTCCCGAAGCTACCATGCTGTTTGTGGTTTTATTGTGGAGATGAGGTGCTATTGAGTGATTTACTAAACCGATAATACAAAAGCTATAATTTAATTTTTTTTTATTTAGATTTTTAATTATATTGTTTCTTATAATATTTAACGAGATCCGTCACTTGATAGACATCATTCACATATAAGCAGATCCAGGAAAGTGGCTCCTCTTACCACAAAAGGTTGTATTGAATAAACAAGTTTGGTTTGTGGTCTAAGTTCGTTAAATTATATATTTAAGGAGTTGCAGCTGATTCGTTTGTTTGAACAGTACTTATCTTGTGTAATTTTTTTGTTGCATAAATATTTATCATCTAGGTCTCACAAAACGATAATTTTCAGAAAAATATTTCTTTTCAGATGAAAATTATATAATTTAAATATGTTTCTGTCATGATTTTTTTCTTTTGATGTCAACAACTTCTTTAATTTTCTATAAATATTAAATATATCGTATCAGCTTGAGTTTTCTATATCTCATTACATTGTGTTATACTTTTACAAGATGAGCATTCTTTTTTGTTTATTTAATTAAATATCATATATTAATGATTTTTCTATTGACTTTTTAATATTCTTATATAAAGAAACTTTGAATACACTAGTCAATATACATAATTTTGTGCAATATATATTTAATATTATTTTGTGATTATCGATTACATAGTTCCACTCTACCCATTGTATTTAAAATTGAGAGAATAATAATAAAACAATTAAAAGCTTTATAATGCTCGTACAGTCGTACACAATGCTCGTACAGTCTGTTAACTCATTAATATCAATATTAAAAGTAGCCATTTTTATTTTTAGTTTAAATGAAATTTTTAAAATATTTTTAAATAATATATATTAGTATATTTTACTGAATATTTTTCGTTATGTCGAGTATGAAAAATATTTTTTTTTATTATAATTAGATTAGGAAGCTTAGAACGTACTTTACTAATAATTATTTATTGATAGATTTGTCAAACTTAAATATAACACAGGGTTGTTTTCGCTGTCTCTGTCACGTATACACTTATTGTACAAATCAAGTGAGTGCAGTGACGAATATTGTGGACCATTTAACATCTCAAAGTCTTACTGGATAGAAGCTGGTAATATAACCTTAGATGGAGACGATCCCGATAGAAAAGATGGTGCATTGAAGGACTATTATTTCTTATAGCTTTCTTTGTTAGTAATTGTTATTTTAATGGGACTTCGTATTTCAATATTTCTTTTAGCTTGGAAGGATTGCGCTAATAACTACTTTTGCGCTCAGGATATAATGAAAAGCTATCTTCAAAAATTTTCAAAGGTGACGTTGGTTAAATTGTTCTTCTTTAGTACTCTTAGTATGTGGTATCAGTTTTTATGATCTATTTAAATACATTACAAGTCTAGGGTATAAAGTTTAACTTAATGATAGAAACGTCAATTCAGAGTACCGATGTTAATATTTTCAGTTTTAACTCGGTAAGTAAACTTTGAACTAATGTAGTTAGACCACGGTAAGTCTAAGGTTCTGACAGAATTTACAAAAAATATACCCTGTATTTAGATTTGAAAATTTGCACTTTGTTTTTCAGGACTGTATGAATCACATTTTTTTTTATGTGAAAGGTGGCAAACGAGCAGACGGCCCACTTGATGGAAGGGGGTTACCGTCGCCCATGGACATACGCAACGGAGATGTTGCGGATGTCCATGCGTTGCCAACCTTGTTTTTTAGGGATAGGGAGGGGTGGGAATAAGGAAATGGTAGGAAAGGGTGGGAACAGGGAAAGGGCAACCGGCTCTCTCACTTATCGGACGAAACGCAGCCATTAAAGGCTACTTCACGCCGATCTTCTGTGAGAGGGTGGTACTTCCCCGGTCGAGCCAGCGCATGTTCGAGCTGTAGTAACTGACTACTAGGTTCTACCACCTCTAAAAAGTTTAGTAGTAATTTTTGAATGAATATGTAATAATCAAAGTTCTGCTTTTCTACTTTTATTACATAAATGTCAATTAAATTTGCTTATAATGGAATGTAAATGGATTGCACCTTAGTAATTTAATGTTTAACGACAAGGAAAGGAACTGCTTTATTTACGATATTAAATCAATTAACTTAATCAAACATATATATTGGTAGTAATTGATTTATTCTATTCCAGGACTGCAATAATGATGGCATGATCAATTGCTATGACTTCTTGGAGATTGCAGGCCGCTTAATCAATCATTGAGTGGACGCGTTTGGCTCAAACGTTACGGGGAATGTCGTGCAGCTCGACTTGTGGATTGAAAATTATTATAATTTGTAATGTATTCTATAATATTTGAATAAATTATAAAAAAACACATAAATATCAATAATATTTTACGTTTAAGAAAAACCGAAAATCAGAAAGTGAGTCATAGAAAAAGAAAATGTTTCTCTAAGCTTTCCTCTTTTCTTTATTTGTCGTGACTTTAATTAATTTATTTCATATCAAATACACTGGTTTGTATTGAAGGTGATTATATGTTTTGATGATTTTAATTTTTTTATGATTTTTAAATAATTCTGAGGTATTAGAATTTATATTAAATTAAAGGTGGTAGAGCCTAGCTGTGGTGAGTTACTGCAGCTCGAACATGGGCTGGCTCGACCGGGGAAGTACCACCCTCTCACAGAAGATCGGCGTGAAGTAGCCTTTACCGGCTGCGTTTCGTCTGATGAGTGAGAGAGCCGGTTGCCCTTTCCCTATTTCCTACCCTTTCCCTTCATTTCCTTATTCCCTCCCCTCCCTATCCCCAAAAAACAAGGTTGGCAACGCATCCGCAACAAAATGTTGTGGATGTCCATGGGCGACGGTAACCACCTTCCATCAAGTGGGCCGTCTGCTCGTTTGCCACCTTTAACATAAAAAAAAATATTAAATAGGCTTCTGAATAAACGAATGCTTTGTAGGGTTAAAATTAGACATGCTAAACCACAGATAAAGGGTCACATAAAAATAACTATAAAATCGACTGCCAAGAGCTGATGAAAACAAAAAGTTACTTAGGACAAATTTTATAGTTTAGAATAAAAACCCACAATAAAATATCTCTGTGATTCAGACATTTATTTCGGTTTATGCAACCACTTTCATTATATTATTCATCTATATAAATATTGAGGGGTTAGTTATTCTCCAGTTGATGTTATTGTAATGAGATCACGTTA